GCTGTTCCTTTTCTTCTTCGTGTTTTCTCGGAAGTTACCATTTCTTTTCTATTCAGTGGAAACAAGTTACCTATTCTGACACTTTTTCTCCTTGTGTAAGAAAATTAAGTTTGAAACGCTTTATGAGCATGCATTTGCCTTCATTCTTCATGACTTTCACCATCCATTATGCAGGTGGGAATCAGACCTGAGCGATTGTCCATCAAGAGCTGAATACTATCTCTTAAGGCTTCCTTTTCAACCAGAACCTTTTTCCTGTAGCCTTAAAGCAAGGTGCAAACTCAGAAAGGCTGCTGCTAATCTCACCCAGGAGCTCCAATGTCTGGTCTTGACGAGTAAACATATTTACAGCACTGTAAGGGTGAAAAGCAATTGACGTATTTGAATTGGATACAACTCTGTTTGGGATTCAGGTCTGAGTTTTGTGCTTCACCCTTTGGTACTGATTCAAAGTGATGTGGAGCGTGACATTTAAATCAAGCTTTACTCCCAGCAGAAGAAATGTAGGATTGAATGCAGCAAGGGCAATTTCTGTTACACTAACCATTCAAAGTTTGGCAGTTTGTCAAAGCCTCTCTCTAATCCAGAGACAAGTCTGCACTTTCCTCGGTCTCTTCAGGTTGCAGTTCTGTTGTGCAATATCAGTGATCCCAAGACCATTTCCCATATCTGAATTGAAATTAATGTTTTTATACATATCTACCTGAACAGGCAGATGGGACCTCATTCCATATAATCTGAAGGATGACACCCCCGACAATGCAGCACTCTCCCAACACTGCACTGGAGTGTTAGGACATCAATTCAAAATCCCAACCACAGATCACATTCATCTGATTCAGAGATTTTGTTTTTGGTTAGCCTGTGACACATGTGGAAACCCATCACTTTGCTTAAGAGTATCCAAACAAGCTGAGCTTTACATGCATCCCACCTCATCATTGAAATCCTAAAGATAGATTATTGGAATGGAATGCACACTCTCTCCCTGGAGGGATGCATCTTGCTTACCTTATTCCAGAAAATATTAGGCGCAAGTTGGCAAGAGCCAAGGTGTGGAGACCCCAAAGTGTGTGTTGGGGTACTGCTGGAGTCTAATCAGCTAAAACCACATAGCTTGCCATTGAAAGCACTGTCTGGCAAGCTTTCCCACAGCTTGTCCAGGTAGGACTACCCTACCCATTAGGGTCTTGGCTTGCAGGGTTAACAGGAGCTGAGTGGGTTGACTCCCTGCCAGTGACTGGTCTACCCTTCCAGATCCTCCTGATGAGCCAGGCTGGCTGTGCTGTCATCAGTAGTGCCCTGGAATACTGTGGACCCACCTGGCTCAGGAACCAAAATAATGAGACCGCCACAGAGGGCCGGCTGGATTCCGGATATTCTGTTGTCAGGCATTCCACCTTGGAGGCAGTACAGCAGCCTCTGGAAGAACAATGTGTCCAGTCATCGAAACTCATTCATGGGACCCAATGGGTTAAGATAATTAAATTAACATGGGATCCAAGGGGACAAATATCTTAAAATGAAGGAATGTTGCTCCATTATTTATTATTTTCATATAATCGACCATGAATGAGTTTGTCAATAAGTCTCCTGCGACCTCCCTCAATGTTAAGGACATTTCTTCCCGTGTGGATGGGAACGTCTGCAGCTGGTGACAGAGCATCAGTAGCTGTAACCTGCTTCAGTGTTGAGAGACTCTACCCTGTATGAAGGATGCTATATAAATGCAAGTTGCTTTTGTTTCAATGGACAAATCAAAGATGCAAGTGTTCGATTAACCATTGGTCAGGCTGGTTCATAACATTAGCTCATCTCTTGACACTAAATTTGAGAAAGCAGTGTGTTTTCAATGTTATTATTTCATATTTTATTGTTGGATACAGTTCTGTTATAGTGGCACTGCACTTTAATCTTATGTCTATTGTTACCTTATTTACAAAGTAATTTGAATAGCTTAACATCCGCTTATTGTACGATTGGAGTTTCAGCCAATCTATTAGCACCTCATTTCATGTGGTATTCCAAGAGGAAGAGTAGATTGGGAAAGGAAAGTGTTGCGAATAGCTAAACTCACACTGTAATCACAAGAGATGATCTGACCTTTGACTGGAGCACGACTGAGCCAAATTGTGTAGAAGCCCTTGACACCAATAAAATAATATGACAATTGGTAACCATTATAGATGCAATTGAAGAAAATTATAAGAAATTATTCAGACAAATGGGAGAGCTTTGGAGAAAAGAAGGGTGCCAAGGTCATGACTGCCTAGCCTGGCCAACAGTCCTCCAAATAAAATTGGTCATTCATGTCAGGACTGCTTGGGATATTGTTGTGTGAAATTGACTGCTGTGTTTGTCTACAAAATATACAATCTACATCTACAGTTGATCCAGTGAAGTATTTTGAAATGTCTTCCCAACGTGAAAAGGTGCTACCTCAGAGTATCAGGTATAGGTAGAACAATTAGTTATTTTTGTAATGCTTAAAACAATTAGCTTAAGGAAGTTAGAGGAAACTGGAGAACAGTTATAAATCAACATTGTGGCTGAGTGTAAGTGTCAATCCGTCATAGCTTGAGCTCATAACATAGAATAGAGTAATTTATGTTATCATTATATGGACGAATGTAGCATTATGAATGCAAACTCAGAACAAAGGTCCCACTGAACAGGGAATAAAGAGTAACAGTGTTTTGTCCCAGTCAGGAGATAAATCAAATTAAGCTGAGTTAGTCACCCACATGGATCTAAATGGCAAGATGAGCTTTATTTTACTGTTTCAATTTAAGAGGATCAAAATCTGGAACACTTTCAGTTAGTTCAACAACAAAAAAAAATTACTTTTGTAAAGTGCCTTTCAAGTTGGGAGGACATCCCAAGGCGCTGGACAGACAAAGTTACGGTCCAGAGCTGAGGGTCGGGAGGGGGGACGGCAGGGGGGAAGCAGAGAGATCAAAAGCACAGTTGAAGAGGAGGATATTGACGTGGGTCTTGAAGGAATGGCAAGGGAGGGGGTGAGACGGAGGGACTGAGGGATGGAATTCCAGAGGGTGGGTGCAGAATGGCGGAAAGCCTGCCTACCAATAGTAGCGACGTAAAGCAGGCCAGAGGCCACTGAGCAGAGGGAGCGAACAGGATGGTAGGGGGTTAGGAGGTCAGAGAGGTAAGGGGGAGCAAGAACATGGAGGGCTTTGAAGGTGAGGACCAGGATCTTGAACTGCATCCTCTGTGTGATGGGTAGCCAGTGGAGTCGGGCGAGGGTGGGGGTGATAGGGTCGCGGAGAGCACACGATTTGCAGAGTTCTGGATGATCTGCAGCCTGTGGAGGGAGGAGTTGGAGAGACCGACAAACAAGGAGTTTGCATAGTCAGCCTTGATGTAATGAAGGTGTGTATGAGGGTCTCGGCGGCCTGTGGAGTGAGACAGTGGCGGAGCCGGGCGAAGTTGCAGAGGTGGGGGAAGGCAGAGCCGGTCATGGCACAGATGTGGAGTAGAAAGGATAGTTGAGGGTTAAACAAGACCCCAAGTTCCAGACTGACTTAGTAAGGTGGAGTGTGCAACCATGGATGGTGATGCTGTCAGCGCCTGAGGTGAGGAGGTGCTGACAGGATCCAATCAAGAGAGACTCGGTCTTGTTGACGTTCAACTGAAGAAAGTTAGCTGTCATCCAGGACTTGATGTCTGACAGACATTCTGTTTTAACTCTGCCACTGATATGTTGCCATCACTCACATTTCAGTCAAAGTCTGGCCTCTTAACTAAAAAGTCAAAAAAGCTGTGAAAATCTCAGTGACCAAATTTTTCATATTAAATGGTGCCCTTTTCATATAAATGGTCCAATTATAGTGTGTGGTTGTGCCTGGCTGAGTTGGATGACTCAAGCTGAGCAGCCTAGTCCACACTTGATGAAGGAAAGAGAATTATAATCAAAGATCACTTTACATGACAGACCAGGCGAGACTTGAGAAACTGTGAGGGTAGCCGACAGTTGAATGAGTCATTCTGTGCAGGGATTTATTTAATGGTCGCTGCCAGTGTAGGACTCCCAGTCGGCACAATGTGCTTTTACGTACACAAAGAATATGGTTACACATAAATCTGTGATGCAGGAGGCAATTTACTACACAGAAGCTCAGTTATAAAATAAATTAACCAGGAGCTCTTGTTTATAAAATGTGTCATGGTTGCTAGCAACAGGCTGTATTCATTTCTCACGAGAAACACCTTAACAAAAGACGTGCAGAAAAGTTCTAATTTGATTCCATGGTCACCAATGATGCTGTGGAGACTTTCGTATTTTCGATAATATTTTGTTGCTTTGTTTAATTAAAAGCATCAACTGCATCAAGTGAATCTATAATAGTCTGCCTCTCTCTGACTGATTCACACTCATATAGTTGAAATATACAGTCAATTCACTTTACAGTGTGTTCTGTGAAGCGCTTTGGGACGTCCTCCCGACGTGAAAAGCGCTATATCAAATGCAAGGATTATTATTATTATTATTTGCACTGCGCTTTATGTCACACTGCCACACATGCCAGTGTGAATTGCTGCAGTGACTGTAAAGTGAATTGACTGTATATATGTGGTTGAAATGCGGCAGCCAATTGCGCACAGCAGTGTCCCACAAACAGTCGTGGATTGAAATGACCAATTTGTTATTTTTTTGAGAGATTATCATCAGGCGTGTGGAGTAAGGAAACTTGCCCAAGGTTTCACCCTGCCGAGAATTGAACTCAGGTCTCTCGCTTGCAAAGCGAGTGCTCTAATCACTGAGCTACAGGAGTCCATATAGATGGAGAGAGTGCAGGACTATAGCTGGAAAAAAAAGTGCAGGACTGGCAGCTATCCTATGTGTGACACAGTGGTTGACCCTTTATTGACCCAATATTTGATCTTGTCTTTCCTCCTCTGATTGCTCTGTTTGAGCACATGTTTCCAGACCCCAGGGGATGTTTTCATTCACCTGTAATTTCTCTCTCCCTCTCTCTTAGGTCAGCCATTCAGAGGCTGGAAGCAGATGTCTTTCATAGAGTTTATGATTACCTGAAGATGGCCCGGGAGCAGAATGCAAATGAGACTGAGGTGAAGAAAAAACTGGAAATGATGGGTGCCCGGCCGAGTGATTGTTTTGAAGTTGACCAACTTCTGTACTTTGAGGAGCAGCTGAAGGCTGCAGAATCCAAGCACGAATACCACTGATCAATTCTCAGTCCACTCCAAGACCTGCTAACAATTGGGCCAATGAAGGGAGCAGTCCTTGAGGCTGGTGTGCTATTAAGAACAACTTATTGATCTTGAATATAATGAAATGCTAATTTGAATCAATTTAGTTTCCAAAGACGCATTATGTTATGCAGCATTTGCCTGGTCTTCTGGTATTTTCTAAAAGCTGTCAACACATTTCAGCGACAATTTTTTTAAAAAAAAGAATCTTCGGTAGCATGCAGCCATTATTCTCAGAGGTTGCAGATTGTTTCTTACATTTCCTATCAAGTTTCTAAAATTTACATTTTTAGAAAAAGATAAAGCTGGCTTTCACCAGCAGCTTGATCTTAGACAGTATGAGCAAGTTCATTGTGCCTTCTGAAATTCACATCCAGAGTTGTATTCTGCATCAACCTCCGCTCCCCACCTCCCACCCCGTAAAAGAAAAACTGCAGGAAATATCAACAATCAATAACTTAAATGTGCTTTTCAGTTATTTGTACATACTGTCTGTCTCCTGTGTTTCTTTAACAATACTCTTTGTGCTTGTTTTGTAATTTTATTTAAATGGCAACATAAGCCCAAGTTTAGTCTGTAAACATCTTTTTGTGTAATGTTTTTTGTTTTGCAAAGTTCATTGGCAATGGATCAGCAACCACCAGCCAGTACTGTTAAACACTTTGTGACATCCTCCCATGAATGGCATTATATACAGTAAATGCAAAATTGTATTGTATCTATTTACCCAAAGTCATGTTGCATAGTGCAGTGATTAATAGGAAAAGCTGCATCTTCCATATTGTAGGTGATACACCCACTTTCACAGGTCATTATATTTTGACTTGGAATCCTTGTAAATGTGCCTGAAATGGTAACACAGATCTTACTACTTACCTTTGGATAAATACCAACTAATAGTCACCAATTCCCATTTTGTGGCACTATTGTGGGATAATTGTATATTGTTACTATACATCTTTACTGTTTTTATTCTACGGTATGTTTTTATATAAAATTGCATAATTTCGTCCGTCATCCACCTCAGTGGGAGCGCACTCGCCTGGTTCGAGTCCTACCTCACAAACTGCCAGCAGTACATCTGCACAAACGGTTTCTCCTCCCGCTCTCACCCGGTTACCTGCGGGGTACCCCAAGGATCCATCCTTGTCCCCCTCCTCTTTCTGATCTATATGCTCCCTCTTGGGGATGTCATCCGCAGACATGGGGTACACGTCCACATGTATGAGGACGACACCCACCTCTATTTTTTCACTTCACTTTGCGACCCCCAGTCCCCTGATGCTCTGTCAGCCTGCCTGGATGAGTGCAAATTTCCTTCAGCTGAACGCTGTCAAGACGGAAGCCATACTCTTTGGCTCTCGTCAACATCTAAAATCTCACGGTTCTCACCTCCTCCACCTACCCGACCTCCCCCTAAAACTCTCCGACCCGTATGCAACCTAGGTGTCAGGTTCAACCCCTAATTATCCTTCTTCCCCACATCCGGTCCCTCACCAGCACCACTTTCTTCCACCTCCGATGCATTGCCTGTCTCCGCCAATAGCTCTCTCCGAAAGCTGCTGAAACCCTGGTCCATGCCTTTGTCACTTCTTGGTTGGACTATTCAAACGCCCTCCTCACCGGCCTCCCCTCCACTACCATCCATAAAATCCAGTTATTCAAAACTCTGCCGCCCGCATTCTCACCCGCACCAAACTCTTATCCCAGTCCTTGTCAGACTGCACTGGCTGCCTGTCCCAGAGAGGATCGACTTCAAGATCCTCACCCTTGTCTTCAAATCCCTCCACTCCTCTGCACCCCCCTACCTCTCTGATCTCCTCCCTTTTCAAAACAATGCCGGTTGCCTTCTCTCCACCGCATCTGGCCTCCTCCTTGTCCCCCGAGTCCTTCACTCCATCCTCGGCGGCTGTGCCTTCAGCCACTATGCCCCGAAGCTCTGGAACTCCCTTCCTCACTCCCTTCACCTCGGCCCCTCTCTTTCTATTTTCAGTCTCTGCTGAAGACCTTTCTTTCCAACCGTGCCTTTGGTCACCTTCCTCCCCCTCCCCCTGGCTCGGCCCCGGGATCCATTACTGTGAAGCGCTCTGAGATGCCGTCCGGCTTGGAGGGCGCTATATAAATCCAAGTTGTTGTTGTTGTATCTGATAACTACGTTACTGGAACCGATGAGGTGGTTCTTCGAAATATGGAGAGAAATTTGTTTTGAAGCTGTTATCCTCTCTCTCTCGCACTCCTCATTTCCAAAGAGTTTTTAAACACCAGTTTTCGTTGAACCATTTTATTTACTTGTTAATCCATAGGAGGTCCAAACACATGTAACTTCAAAATATATCTCCAATAAACTTATTTCTTTTTAAAGGTACATTGCATCATTTCTATGTTAATGACAAAACATCAAAACAGAAATCTTTTTAATAGATTAAATAACTAAGAACTGTATGATCTGGAATCCAGTGCCCCATGCTTACGGCATTTTATTTACAGATCTTTTATTAGTTCACTTCTGTGAGACTGAAATAATGGAAACTTTTTTCAGTATTCCCGCACCAGTCCTCCTTGACATCTCTGCAGCCTTCGACACCATCGAACACTCTATCTTCATATACCGTCTCTCCTGTCACTTCAACCTTCACGGCTCTGTTTTTGAATGGTTCAGATCGTACCTCTCACACCATCTCCACTTCATCTCCACAAATGGCTTCTCCTGTAGCCCCCGCACCGTCTCATGCAGCATTCCTCAGGGCTCTGCCCTTGGTCCCCTCCTCTTCAATATCTATCAGACGTGGGGTCAACTTCCAAATGTATGCGGATGACACCTAACTGTACCTCTCTGCCTCCACTCTTGACTCCAGGACCACTGCTGTCCTGACAGAATGTCTGTCAGACATCAAGTCCTGGATGAGAGCTAACTTTCTACAGTTGAACGTCAACAAGACCGAGACCCTCCTGATTGGCTCCCGTCAGCGCCTCACCTCAGGCGCTGACAGCATCACCATCCATGGATGCACACTCCACCTTACTAAGCCAGTCCGGAACCTTGGCTTCTTGTTTGACCCTCAACTAATTTTTCTATCCCACATCCGTGCCATGACCCGCATTGCCTTCCCCCACCTCCGCAACATTGCCCGGCTTCGCCGCTGACTCACACCGCAGGCCGCCGAGAACCCATACATGCATTCATAACATCGAAGCGCGACTATGCAAATTTCTTGCTTGTCGGCCTCCCCAACTCCTCCCTCCATAAACTGCAGATTATGCAGAACTCTGCAGCCTGTGTCATGTCCGACACAAGGCTCCGTAACCCTATCACCCCCATCCTCGCCTGAGTCCATTGGCTTCCCATCACACATAGGGTATAGTTCAAGATCCTGGTCCTCACCTTCAAAGTCCTCCATGGCCTCGCTCCCCACTACCTCTGTGAACTCTTAACCCCCTACCATCCTGCCTGCTCCCTCCGCTCAGCAGACTCCAGCCTGCTTCATGTCCCCGCCTCACCCGCCCCATCATTGGTGGGTGGGCATTCTGCCACTCTGCCCCCACCCTCTGGAACTCCATCCCGCAGTCCCTTCGCCTCAATCCCTCCCTTGCGACCTTCAAGATCCATCTCAAGACCCTCCTCTTTGACCATGTTTTTGATCACCCTGCTTCTCCCCCTGCCCGCCACTCTTCCCGATCCTGACACCCAGCTCAGATCTGAATCACTGGCTGACATCCTCCCGCTACACACATGTAATTTTGTTGTTTTAGTTGTTGTATTCAGTCCATTAACCCGAAGTGTGCCAATTCAGATGAGATCAAGTTTCGAATTTAGTATTTTGCACCTCATGAGCACATGGTTTACTAATACAATCATATTCTGGAAATCAATTTAGATTAAAAGCATGACAGACTCTTGTAATTTGTAAGCCTTGTATTTTGACCTCAGAGCCAGATAATCAGTGCCGTGCAGATTGTGAGTTGAAATTGGACCACACCATGATCGTTTCCCACTGAACACAAGGTAAGAGACCATCGTTGGTAACACCCAGCCTGGAGTCACCAGAGATAGTTTCTTCAAGTTTGTCTCCTAAAAAATTACAGATCAAACAAACATATGTGAAAGTCAATTAATCAATCTACTCAGCAACTGCTTCATTTTTCAATTCTGCACTGTTTTTATCATTAACTTCATACAGAAAGTGGGATTGCAATTGACTCCACAATTTAATGCTTGAAGGAACTGGTGCAAAGCAAATGAGTGCTGAACTGAAAAGTCATGCCACGTCACCAGTAATGAACTGTTCAGACTGATCTGCGTTGATTTTGGTTTTGAGAAACCCATTCTTAAGGCACAAGGTTCAATTGGCATCTATTGCACAATTGTTTTAAACTGTCATCATCAAAGCACATCACAGATGTGGAAAATAAATAAGCAAAATTTAGTAGAATAATAATAATCCTTGCATTTGATATAGTGCCTTATCACATCATTGAGATGTCTCAAAAAGCTTCACAGAATATCCTGTAAAGTGAATTTACTGTATATTTCGTGGGCGAAACACACTGTCCCTAAGAAACAAAGAACATAGAAAACTAGTCACTTTCTCTTCATCTCATTGATTTTTCTGGGATTTTGCTGATGCAGCAGATTAGCTGTTGCATTTGCCAGCATAAAATTCTATATTAAATTCAGGTTTATTATTCATTATTTTCAGATCAAGGATTAATGAAAGAAAGGGATGATTTACAAAGATGGGTGGAGTGGCACAGGCATGTTATCAACTCGTCATTGTTCTTCCAGCCCCCACTCACTCTATCCCACTCTCAATGGGCAAACCTTCAGACATTCTGCCTCTCTCTGTGGAACTACTCCATCCTGGAGTCCCTCTGTCTATGCCTCTCCCTATCTGCCTTCAAACCACTCTCTATGACCATACTTTCAGCCACTTTTTCACTCCCCTTCCCAGCTCCCACCACTCAGCCCAAGCTCCCAGTCACTTTTGAGAAGTGCTTCGAGACATCCTCCAGATGGAAAGGATGCAATATAAATGTAAATTGGGTTGTTTTCTGATCGAGTCATTTACGTAGGTTCTGTCTGTCTTGTGATTCAGATAGATGTTAGGAGGTCCCCTTCATCAATCTATACAACTGCTTCAAAGTTATTCACCTAGGATTTTATGAGTTCTAAATTAAAGTCCAAAATGTATTCCCTCCACCTTATCGAGATCTCATTTTTTCCCATTTTTATCAGGCCGCTGTTCCCAGGCTGCATGCAAGCCCTTGTCAACACACATTGTGAAAGCTGTAAAAAATTTCTTGCACCAGAATCTTTTGAATTACATTTTTCTAGAGAGCGCAAATAAGTTATCAAAGTTGCTCTCCTACTGCTGCTGACAGCATATTTTACATCTTTCTCCTGGTTATCCAGGTTTATATTCACTCCTCATTCCAAATATACCAAGTTCTTCTGATATCACATGCAACTAATACAACGGCGCTTTGTATTCACTAATAAATCCCTCCACATTCTAGTACCTCCTATCTCTCCGATCTCCTACCCTACTCCTCTGCTCACCCCCTCCACTCGGCTAACTCCCAGCCCTCTCTGAGTGAGTTCGCCAATTGTGGTGGATTATGGTCATACTTGAACTGTGGAGTGTTCACTGAGATCTAGCCTGAGAATACTCAGGCTTCTTTATCTCAGCTTGTTAGATTGACCTCATTCAGAGTGGCGACTTTCATTGCATCAGTCAGAGCTAGGATCAAACCAAGGTCCTACACATAAAATTCAACATGTTAATCTAACACCTAGGGATCTATGAGTTCTAAATTAAAATTTATTCCCTCCACCTTATCTAGATCTTATTTTTTCCCATTTTTATCAGGCCGCTGTACCCAGGCTGCATGCAAGCCCTTGTCAGCACACATTGTCAAAGCTGTGAAAAATTTCTTGCACCTGTCTTTTGAATTAAATTTTTCTAGAGAGCGCAAACAAGTTATCAAAGTTGCTCTCCTACTGCTGCTGACAGCATATTTT